TTGCAGTAGTGAAGTATCTTTAGGGGGCACTAATTTCGGACGAAACGAAAGTTTGTGACTGGAAGAGGTGCACCCCTATCTTACGTAGACAAATTTATCATACTCTCAAGTTCCTTCTATTCTTTCCATAATTTTGTTTAATCTCTCTCTCTCTCTCTCTCGGTCTCTCTCTCTCTCTCTCTCTCTCTCTCTCTCTCTCTCTCTCTCTCTTTATATCTTTATCTATTCTTTCTCTTTCTTTCTCCTGTATACACTTATACCGTTCCCAGGCGCCATTTTAAGTGAATTTGAGTCCTTTTTTCCCATCTCGATGTTTTCACTGGCTACACCATCATCCAAGCAGGAAACACGTCCCTTTGCAAACCCGATGGAGGAGTGAAGGACTTGTTGGGTTTATCAACTACTGTCAGGATTAAATCGACTTTGTCAGTGTAATTTGTTGCTATTAGTATCACACCCACTGTCTTAAAACAACATTTCTCCGTCGTAAATAAAGTTCAGAAATGTTTCGAGCAGTGACTTGTAATGGGAACTACAAATAGTTAAGGCAAAGGATGCCCCTGGTTAAAGGTAAAGACCAGTTATGGTCATGCGATTGCATTGTGAAAGAAACGTTGTGGAATCGATCAGAAAAGGTTGATCATCTAGCATTTAGCATCTGCAAGGTTCTGGAATCATCAAAATTATAAGAAATTTGGCCCATTCTTCGTAAAGTTACAAGCACTATACACAGAAAGATGTATACGGGACTACCCTATATCTCTCACAGACCATGAGAGAAACAAATTTACCAAATATATGAATTAGTAGGCGGTTTCCCGGCAAATCTTTTATCATCATGTATTAGTCAAAACGTATTCTTTCACAATCATGATTGGTAATGAGAGCTTTCATTTCATTTTTTGAAATTGGGGCGTTTCCAATACTGGTCTTTACCTTTAAGGTTCGAAACAAAAGATCGCAAGTATAGCCTTTCGTGTGTCCTTTTGTTCGGACTAGTATATATGTCTATGCTTCAGAAATATCAAATGGGGAATAATCACCTATAAAAATCGATTGAAACTACCAGGGGCGGCGATATCTTTTCATGACCGGGGGAACGAAATGCGAGATTTTCTACGATATTACTAGTACATTTTAAAGGAAATTATGCGAGGGAGCGAGAAAGATTTTGCATTTTTATTTATCTAAACGCTGCACTCTTGAGCCCTCCAGAGCTTAAAAGTGTGTTGCAGTCTTTAGTCAGTATTTGCTATACATTGTTTTGGCACTTTTACATTTTTTTCTGCGGGGACGTGTCTCCCCCCCCCCCCCCCACCCACCCCCGTCCCCCGGGATCGCCGCCCCTGGAAACTACACATACCTCTTTTTGAGAACATTAATTAAATATGTTTTCTTATATAATTATCCTGAATATTCACACGCATAGCTGCCATTTTATTCACATTCAAATTAAGATGGAAAATGGAAAAAGAGGGAGAGGGATGGGCAGACATACTGAATGTTTGAGTCAAATATTTCCTAGTTGGGTCTTATGAAAGATGCTTCGACATCGATTCTTAACGTTATTTGATATGGATTACCGACACAAAAAGCATGTCAAAAGCCCTTTTCAAGTTATGGCATACATTCGAACAATCGTGACAATTTATCTTGAAAGCTACCAGCCTAGAGAATCAAGCTGTGAGATATATTTGGAAATTCTTAGAAAGGGTGTGAACTGTGAGTTCATGACAAACTGCATAACTTGGATTTTGGCATCCAAAGTTTTATGTTAACCCTACCGCCTCTACACCTGTCTTCCTGCTTTAGAGTTTCCAGGAAAAATATACAACTAAAACTTGGACTACATAAGCATGATTCGTTCTTTATTTTAAAAGCAGCGGAAAAGAATACTATGTTTATTTCCATGATTTTTGGCTGTTCAGATCTTTGACAAATAACCATGGAACGACTTATCGACATCATAGAAATACCACGAATGTTCTTTCTTTATAACTTTGCACCTGTTAGAGGTTTTGGCACGGCTAGTTACGTCCGTTTTGCCTCGAATGATTCGAGTTATTGTGATCGACAATTTCGTGCAAAGTTAATCTTCTTTTCACCTAACTCATCACTACAAACGATTATGTTAGTGATGTAGTTTTATACTTACTTTGTCTATGATTTCATTTTCTCCATTTTCTTTGAATCACATGGAATATTACATCTTACGAAATGTTTACCCGGTTTCTAAATCCACTCCTAACAGATTCTTAAAGTTAAAGGAACAAAAGTAATTTTTCGGAGCATTCCTTCCAAAAAGTCTTCTTCCATATACGAGAACAATATCATTCTTCAAAAACCGCGAATCTTGTCCCGAAATTCACGTTACTGTCAGTCATAATTACTTCATGAAAACCACAAAGTTATTTAGGAACAGGTTTGACTTCATCTTAAATTGCACAATCGCGGATGAATAGAGCACTTTCCAAGTTCAAGTTGTGCTCCCTCCCTCTCCCTCTCTCTCTCTCTCTCTCTCTCTCTCTCTCTCTCTCTCTCTCTCTCTCTCTCTCTCTCTCTCATGTTGTTCGATTGTTCTCATGTTCTTAATACAATCACATTTCATCACTGCTTGAGGAAGATGGCAGAAGATGTGGGAGGTCATATGGTTTTGATTGTTGAGGAATAATGGACCTATAACTCTGCAGGAATTGTTTTTGTTATCACGCAGATCTGTCTGAACGCGGTTAAGAGAGACATGGGGTATGAGAGGAATGCGAATCCATGATCTTTCTATCACTTTCAGTTTCAAACATGTTCATGTTTGATAATCATTCGTATTTCCCCATGATGTGAATACCATTCATATGTATTTCCTTCTTAATCCTTACATGATGACTGAGTGCTCTATTTCTTCTGTCATTAAAATGATTCACCTGCCTATCATCTTATTCATCTACGAAACACTTGCTCCATTGTCATTGTGATGTGCATTGACCATTACATTTCCAGCGTAATGAGAGGGCCGGGGGCTACCCCCCCCCCCCTCCCCACCTCCCAACTTTTTTGTTCTGGTACGATCTATACAGTACATTTGAGAATGTGTTAGTATAGAACTTTATATATAAACTGTCAATAAAAAAAAAAAATGATATTTGGTAGTGAAACATGACCCCCCCCCCCTTCAATAAAAATAATTAAGGGTTAAGATATAATAATGTTTCTGGAGATATACACCATTTGTCGCTGCCTTAATCACTCAATTTGTATGCAGTCCTTACACTTTTCATTCTCCCCCTGTATAATATATGCATGTTTTATTCTACAAAATGAACGTGTAGGTTGCATATTTGTTTTAATACAAAAATCGACATCACTGTCGGCTTTGTGTTAAGAGGGATGTTGGACACTTCGAATGTATTGGTGCTTAAAACGGTACGCACAGATATAACTTGTGTGTTAAGTTTTGAACACGTAATAAACCAAAATGAATACTTTTGACATTGACCCCCCCCCCCCCCAACTTTTGATTTTCCAATACCTAGAAAAGTGGATTTTGCAATGATCCGACTTCAAGAGCACCTAACTCGGTGATGCATGACTTTGATGATGCAAACAAGGTTTCTAATGAAAGCTGAATAGTTACTCTTTACTCACGTGTAATATTTAAGATCATGTAATTGACATTTGAACTTCGGTCATCATTTTTTATGAGGAAAACTCTGTAGTAGGCTGCACTTATATATCCTCTCGAACCCTCCCACTAATTTCAACCACATTGTTTATGCATGATACACAGGGGGATCAATCACCGACTAAGAATGAACTTCATACTGCTAACTTGACCTTGTTTGATCTACTTATTATAACCACTTATTCAATCTTCCTATCATGAGCTGAGGATCGGACTCACCATCTCAGCTGTTAAAGCCGATCGGTTTTGAGGGGGGCATCGTAGTATTGAACATGACACGTAGCAGCCCCCTGTCCCCCCTCTCTTCCTCTTTTTACATGATATGTCTGTGAATGCCAACTTGAAGATTGTAGCATGAGATTTTGTGATCTTCTGTCTCCTCATTAAAAGCACCAGACTGCTTGGAAACTATGGCATCCATTCCAAAATTAGATATATAAAGCCCCACTGCACTACTTGTATACTTGCGCCCTCTGTATAGCAAACAATGCCTAATCGGTGACCTAATCGGTGACCTTTCAGTGACCATACAGAGAGGTCTAATCACTCCTGGCCAAACTATTGCAGAGGGGCTTTAGAGGGAATTTTTTCCACGATGGGATGTGGAGTATACATCTTATTTATTTATTGTTCTAGCAAACCATAATGGAGCAAATAAAAATGGATTAACTTAATTTATTTGTTCTTGACGGGCATTGATGCCATGTTGGAGTGACATTCGGCTAAAATACAGACTATAACCTTGATGGCTTAGTTGCAGGGGGGGGGGGGGGGGTGGGTAAATTTTTGGAAATACTGTATTATTGATGCTATTTCAGATAAACCTCAGTCATGGCAAACACAATCAAAAGGACTTTAAAAGAAGCAACCTAAGGGTAATTGTAATACAATGAATTATATTGAAATATATCAAAACATAGTGAAATACAAATGGGGTATTTATTGAATTGCATGCCCAAAATATATTAAAATACACTTGAAGGGCCTTAGGAAATCATTTTAAGATTATGTAACACGTTATTGTTATTCTCACACATTTCAAAAGGTAACAGACAAGGCTATTGAAATTGCCTTTGGTTGATTTTGAAAGTCCCTTTGATCATGTTTGCAGTTAAAGCATTCATGGAAGTTGAATACACTTTATTAATAGATTCATTATGAGACTTGAATCTAAAACTGAATATCTTAACCAATTTAGGAACTTCTGTAAGTGGATATTTTCCCAATAAATCACTAACCATTACTATATTAGATGTCTAGATGCAGAGAGAATTATTGTGATGATCCACAACACTTAGAAAGAAAACACAATATGTGAATAAACTGTTTTATCAAACATTCAATAATGCTTTATTTCACCTTTTAAGTTAGCATGGTACTGTTTTGTACAAAAATACTGCATATACAAACATTCGTTAAGGGATAAAATGATTGTTTACTTAAAAAGAAAGGCACAAGTGACATTTTAGAAAAAATATTACAAAAGTAGAATAGGAATTAAAATGAAATATTTGCTTGCTTAAAGTTCCAGACCATGAGACATATAACTCAGTGCTTATTCTCAATGAAAAAAATTAACAGAATTTGTGATGATACCAATCGTAATGAATTGTAGTAAATAACAAATAAAAGCATTATTTTGCCCTATACACAGCAATTGAGCTCAAGAAGTGTGCTGAGCCGTGAAGGAGAAAGAAAAGAATCAATGTACAATATTGAGAACCGCCTTCATTCTGCACTTACATAAAAATGCATTGTCTTTACCCAACAATCCATATAGACAACATAATTACAGTCAAACCTGAAACAGAAAATGTGGCCATTGTAGACAGGTGGCCTTTCTGGAGAGGTGGCCACTAAAATTCTCCACACATATAATCATTCTGTCTCTATTAAGTATTGTAACCGTAAGATGATGTACTGACAGTGACATATTTGTCTGCTTTTATCCTATTCAGTCAGACCTATGGCATTCCATCCCGTACTGATCTGCCCCCTCCCCCACACAAGGCTTGATCACCCCTCCCCCAAAACAAGCCTTGCCCGCTCCTTCCCCAAACAAGCCCTGGTCCCACCCCTTCCCTATCGAATCAGAGAGGTCCTTTTTGTCCATTATGAATACTTATTTCCTGTGCATTGGTCCCTGATCTTCAGTCAGACCTATGGCATTCCATTCTGTACTTGTCTGCCCCCTCCTCGACACAAGCCTTGCCCACCCCCTCCCCCTAAACAAGCCCCACTCACACCCCTTCCCTATCGAATCAAAGAGTTCTTTGAGTAGAGATCTCTTAATGGTTAGCCCAGCCATATGCTCTTAATAAGAGCTGTCAACTCTAACTCTCTGATGGAAGGAAGCCTTGATCATCCTCATGGCATCCATGCTGTTTGCCAGTATAAGGGGTACAAGAGATGATCAGTTTTCAGACATCGCAGAATGCATATCTCTTCCTACGTGCCTCTAGTTTTTCTATCCTGATATTTTTAGAACAGGGTGGCCTTATTGAGACCAGCAGACAAACCCATTCTCTATTTAGCTCAGACATACCAAAACTTGGTGTGTTGTGGTACAAACTATGATGGGGCTACACCAATGGGGGGGGGGGGGAGGGGTTGCCCCACCCCTACCTGGGCTGCTGTCATAGCCTTGGTTGTTATCCTACAGTAAGGGCATATACACACTGTTTTGCTTGCAGCTCAAACCGGTATCAAATCATTATACTTTGGCTACCTTCCCAGGCAAGTAAAACTAATAAAAGAAGATTCAGAAATATGTCAATAATTTGTAGATATATAGATGGGGGGGGGGGGGGGGTTCCATGACTCCTCCCTCTCCAAATCAGCACCATTGTGTCACTTCAGCAAATGTGATTAGGAAAGGGATTGCTCATTTTCAATGAGGCAGAAAATTGAATGTAGAATATTGGAACAATACCCTACCAACATGAAATCTCAGTTCAATCACAACTGACAGAATTGATCAAATGAATCAAATTTCATCATGATAGTCGTAGGATGTTGAATTTCCAATGACAGCTAGTAAAAATGTTTTTACTGTTCAACATGAGAGTCGATGGTTTCCTTAACATCAATTACAGATCTCTTCCTCCTGTCCTCTGCTAATATCCTCTACATATGGGACTGGTTTGAGATCAGGCAAACAATGTGATCTATACGGCTCATGGTCACCGAGGTATATAATGTACCAGAAACATAAATGAGACCATACTTTTGGAATGGGGGTAACTCCAGTACCCCTTACTCTCTCTCTCTTTTATTCCCTTTAATTATTAAACTTCATATCCCTCAAATTTTGTTTTCATGGGCTCTATTCAAATGTAAAGAAAATAATTATCCACAAGGAGGAAGTTCAGAGGCTACAAATGTCACCAAAGCGGAGAAGGGGTGATAAATTAAACCGAGCCCATCTTCATTTCTAGCATCAATAAAATAAGACATGCATGGATACCAGATGAGTAAAAAGGGTAAGGCCTCATCCTTTCCAAAATTATTGTTTTTTTATAAATATTATGAAGCAAAAATGTGTCATATTCCGCCCGAGGTCTGAAATGTGAATAATTTTTTTCAACTGACTCCCACATCTCGACCCTCAATGTTTCCAATATGAGCACATTATGTTTAAAGATAACATTATTTGCAAAGATTCTACTAATGAGAAGGGTATGTTGTTCATCAGGGGAGTCATACTCGGGAAGAACAATTTGCAAAATGTCACAATCACTGATGTATATCATTTATTGCTTGGCTGTATGACAAATCAATCTGTTACTCATCTAGAGCGTTATCACTATCAAACATTTTCCAACAAAAAAAGAACTCTGTTACTCATAAGACAAGCCACACACAGTGCTATGACTTTGAGTTGAAGAAACATGAACCCTCGATTAAAGCAGAAAAATATGAATCATCAAAATGAAAAAAAATGAATACAAAGATTTGTAGAAGCACAAGCTATTTCAAAAGCTTATTTGCAAGTTACAGCTAGTGTTGGTCAAGTTAGCTTCAGTGACAGTATGCTCGAGATCAAATCCCAGAATTATCAACATTTATAAACAAATTAAAAATATATAAATTACATCACTCTATTCTACAGGAAGGGGGGGGGGTAATATTTATATCAAAGTTTGGCAAGGAAGAGTCTGCCAACTTTAACTTGATTGTCATCCAATTTCATTCACTTGGTTTAGTAACACAGGACCAGTTGTTGAAAGGGAAGCGAGTGTTGCACGCTGGCATGCCAATAAGCCTCCTAAATTGGTTGAAATACAGCCAGCATCTGCCATTGTCATTACCATACCCCTATTGGTTTTGTTATGCTCCGGACAGGGGCTACAGTGTACCCACGGTAGGGCCCATGGTATATCCGCTCTGAAAGGCTGATCTACCAGACGCGATTGGAAACGAGGGTGGGGTCTGAATAAATGCAATGAGGTGTGGAAACGATCCAGTGGTAACAACAAAAGCACTTTTAAACTGATTGGATATTTTGAACAAAGGCAACGCCCAAAGTGAGAACCTTACAATACAGGACACAGGTGCACAGTCATAAAGTTATTTTTCTTTTTGGTTGATGCTATTTCCAATGGTCCAGGGGTCAGTAATTATCATGAAAGGTCCTGTTCATCAGCATCTAAGCTATGACTATGACTGAGAGTCTAACATCATCTTTAAAATGTAAACATATGTATCTCTGTTTACAGGCAGGATATTTTGAACCATCAATATAATATGATTGAGATTTGAAAGGAAATATTTAGCAATTTCGATGTGATCAATGATTTTCAGACTTTTCACATGTGCTATATTTTCAACCATCAGGAACAAGTGCTGTGTATTCGTAATTTACTTGACTATAAAATGATAAGAAATATAGAAAACCTTTATCATCCATGGTCTGGCTATATCTCCACATCAACCGTTAACATGCCATAGCATGCCGTTCATTTTATCAGACCTAGACTTGTCACGAGTAAAGACAATAACCAGCCCAAAATGCGGTCATTTGCTGAATTTGAGCGACAACTGACTAGCCATATTGAGCAGGCGCTTCCTTCATAAATTGTCCAATTAGATGAGCTTGAACTAAACACCTAGTGATCACACACCTGTTGATGAGTAAGACAATGCTCTCTAAGAAATGTTGGGGAAATTATTTCAATGCTTTCGTGGGAAAGGTGCAAGGTATTCAACATAACAATTTATATTTTCTTAATATCGACACTGGACAATAAGCAGTGTTTTCCTTGTATTGTCACATTGCAAGACATCATTCCTGCTCAAAGTGTTATCTTAAGCATTATGTGGGGCAGTTAGGCCCCTATGACTGAATGATTGAAAAAGTTCTTAAGAGGAACTAAAAATTCATGAAATCTTCTAGTATTTATGACATTTTTAGAACAGAACAAATAGGAGATAACCTCACAAGAACCACCAACGAGTTGGTAATATGTGTGGGATTGATTGCAACTTAAAAAATTCAAAACTTCTAATCAGATTTTGCTCAAACTTTTATAGAGTATTCTCTATTTTTTAAAACTTTTATCAAAATAAAATAAACATCAAGGTGGACTTCTCCTTTAAAAAAGCACTTGTCGGAAACCTTCATGTTTCTGCCTCAGCTTGCTAAATTATTATCAACATAAAAATACTGTTCAAGGGTAAAAAGCACCATAAGGGTTGTCAACGCAATAATATCACAATTAATTTTCCCAAACTTTCCTCATTTTCCACATTGTTAATTATCAAACTGTACATTCTAGAAAATTTCTAATAAATATATCACATATTTACAAGATAGGAGTTACATTATCTTAAATAGAGTTATAAACACAATGTTAGGGAGAAAATGAATATCCGTCATAATGAAATACATCTTGCATTGAGCAGAAGGAATCATTTCAAAATGAAAAAAAAGAAATATCAAAGACGTAAGAAAAAAGGTATCCTTGAATATTTGTCCAAGCTGTAATGACACAAGCATGTCAACAAGAAAAAGAGCCATTTCAACATACTTTGTAACAACTAAAAAAAGAAGCTTTTTACATTTATGCTTCTTTCTTTTCTTTCTTAAAACAAATTCTTTACAGATTGAAAATTCCTTTCAAATTGTATGATTACTTGGAAAAACACTGGTATTTATAAATGCCTACTTCACTCAATAAATATGTATTTCTGTGGTAAATGTTATTGTTTTGGGGGGAGCAAATACTTTAGTTATACTTGAAACTGAAAATCTAATTGCTATTTGTTTAATTTAAACTGGAAAACTTTTTTGCGATTTTACTTCCTGACTAGCTAGATATTATTATTAAGTGTATTTGTTTAATCAAAACTGCATAAGAACACTTGCTGATTTCCACACTAGATCACTGCATACTCATATTATATGAATACACAAAGCTTATTACAATAGCACAAAAGAATCCTCTTATTGTTCAATGTTCATCATAAGTAGCAAGAGAAGGACACCCCAACTCCAGCACAGAATCACTGCCCTCCTCCTTCTCATAAAACATTCCTCACATCCCAGCAGATCGATGATAGTTTTAATCGTTGGGGCATTCGCTACACAGAGCTTTTTTCTTTCCGTAGCTCAGGCACGAGCTTCCGATACACTCGCAGCACCCTGTATGGAACCATCTATATTTTGCCGCCCCCATGTGGTGGCAGGCATCGACGCATTTCTCAAGACCTAGGCATATCTTGATATAAGCCACAGTACAGATGTCAATAGGTACGATGGTTTGGTTGACAGAGATCGCCGTTGTTGCCGTCTTGGAGCTTGGAGATACGTCTGACAAAAGAAAGGGATTGAAAGAGAACATGGATTTAATATTGTGCATGCTAAAATAGTTATGTAACATTCAAAAAGAAAATAAACACAAACTGTGCAACTGTGATACCAGATGCATCTACCCTTTTATATGTCAGGAACTTTTTGCCACAATTAAGAGTTCACTGATTAATAAATTATGCACTGAAAAGGCAAACAAGAAGATGCTGATTTTAGTATTTTATGTAAATGAGTAAGGAAACCAAACTGGTATGATGGATAATGTGTCACTTAATTTTTAATTTTAATATTTGTTCCATATTAGTGTACACAACAACTGGCTGAAATAATGTGTATGTCCAAAAAAGATACAGTTACAAAAAAACAATATATGTCTTGAAATAAGAGAAAGAGTTTGAGATTTACATAGCAAATTCAATTAAAAGAAAACCAAATTTTTCATTCTGTTTATGTCCTTCAGTGTATCCAAATTGACATTTACTGCAATAAAAAGAGTCAAATTATCATCTATGTGAATCCCTCAACACAATATACTTTCATTTTCAAAAACTAGACCAAGAAATTAGTAGTAGTTATGTCTAGAACTTGAGTACACATAACATCATTGTATCGCTAATTTGAGAGAAATACCTACCACTAGTGCTTCCTTCAGAAGGCGTGGCCGGCACAAGGCCCGGTAGATTGACCCCCTCCTCTTGGGGTGTGACCCTCTCTACCGTCCAATGAGAATCAGGGTGTGGCTTGTCGACCTGGGTCAGGGCGTTGAAGAGGGTGTCTGTCCAATCAGATTCCATCCGAAGGTCGTTAATGGTACTGTAGCTAGCGATGTCCGTTGACGAGAGGTTGCGAGGTTTGCACATGTCTAGGGTAATAAAAAACAAGAGTGAATGATCAAAATCATATAAGTGAAGAACTTTAAGAAGTGAATAAAAATTGAAATGAAAATGAGAATTCTAATACCGGTAAACATAAAAAATAATTTTAACATATCTCTTCTAGCAGATATTCTTTCAGGACTAAATACCCACACACAAACAAAAATTGAGGGGGGGGGGGTTACAACTGATCCTTGATAAGTTTTAAAACAAAATGTAAGTGACAGCTTGTAAGCTATGATTTTCAATGTATATATTTTGGTACTAAAAAAACACCTTCTTCTCAAGGTTTACAGAAAACTTGTGAGAACAAATTCATTGAATATTTTTATATTTGAATGGCAAGTAGCAAAATAACAATACTATTCAGACTTCAGTCTTGCATCCTCACTTGTAAACACATCTATTTATTATTACGGTGAGCAATATAGAAGGGTCCCATCATTGAATCATTCCCATGAAAGATCTATGTATAAGATCATATCCATTGAGAGAAAAAAACCCATTTTTAGGCTATAATTGATGCCTTATTATATATTACCCAAAAGAAGTGATAGATCCAATTAAGTTGTTGTAAGGTTCCCACATTCCAAAATGAAATGAACTAGGCTACTTAAATTGCCCTAGCCTGATTTCTTGAAACCTTTTGGGTTATATTTATGAGTGTTTACAAAAGATGAATTATGATTTTGGCTGTTTTTCCACCACTGCATGATTTATGGCCATTGCAGCCATACCAGTAGAGCAGGTGAGATGTAGTTCAGTGAGAAGCTGACAAAATAGATGTGAAATATGGGATGCCTTAGGGAGTTCAAATATAAGTTATTCTTATGCCCTTGATTTAACAGGTGTTTGCATCCTGTAGAAGAAATTTTATTCAAAAATACAGCACTGAGCTTTCATCATTTGTCAAGTTCCAATTTTGGCGGTATGGGTGATACTAAGAATGCTGTATTGGTGCAAGGTCTTTAAATGGAAATCGAACTCTGATACCTTCGGGTAACAAAATTATTAAACATAGTTTGGTGATAAACTGATAACTTGCTAATTTCAATAACAGAGTACTGATAACTGGTTGAAAGTTGAGAATTCTGGGAAACTCATAGAATTTGTCAGGTTATCGTCAGCCTTCTGTTTTGCAGAAGGATATTTCATTTCATTTCATTTCATTTATTTATTTATTTATTTATTTATTTATTTAAACACGGAGGCCTGCTTTTTAAAGGGGACTGAATTGTTATAATGTTGTGATGTATAAGAAAATTAATCCAATGTACATGCAATGGTCAAGTCTTCTCTTACAGTATGCATACAGTGGGCTGCATTAGGTGTGAAATACAAGGTACACCGTACATGTAAATACACTAGATTAGCAAAAAACTATTCAATTCAATTGGGTATCAACCGTGAATCAAAGGGAACGTCAATGAAAATGATGTACGAGAGCAGATATCATGCGTAGGAAATAATACATTAAGGGCATTAATCATACACATATCTTGACAGAAGGAATTTGGGTTTCTAGTCCATTGCATTCCACTATTCATCAATTTCAAACCATATAGTATAATGATTTAAATAACATCAGAAAACTACATGTATGATTGAACAAATGTTGTAAGATTGTAATTTTGACTATATGGAAAGAATCTAAGTAAAAGAGCCCCTAATTGACAAATAAATCACATGAAACTACTGTTTTGTAAAGTTTGATTCCCTATGTTTTCCATCCAAAATGTTGTACCGCTATACTTCTGTACATGGGGATAAATTGTACAGTGCAGTGTAGGTTAACATCGAGGTTGACATCTCTCTTGGAAAAAATATCAAAAAACTGATAGGGGTGGACATTTCATAATCTGAATGTCTAGAGAACTTGACATGTTCAGGAAAAGTTCAGCCACAAGAACATAGATTACATGTTCGGGTTGGATTTCCCAAGATATTTGAAAAGGAAATTTAGGATAAAAAAGAGAACTTACTGACGCAAGCGCAACAGTCGTCCCACAGCTCAGCGAGACAGAGTGTGCAGTTGAGACAGCATGTACAGTTCTCTAGCGTACAACCACAAGCACCAGTCAGCTGACATTTGCTAACCCGCGAGACGCATTTATTCTCGTTGCATGTCTCGTAGAAGATGGTGACGCCCACCGCGTAGGCGATTCCAGCCACCATCACCGCTAAGAATACTGTCGTCTTCATTCTGTAGGATTAGTTCTCTCCTTGTTGTTCCTGGAAAATTAAAACAAAAGATGATTCAAGTATTAAAGGTATTATCAACATTTTGACACCGTAAAACAGAAATGAAAACAGTTGCACAATCAATTTGGCATTCCATATGCCAGAAATATCATCACAGATTTTAACGATCAACATTTAGAATGCAAAAAAAATAATGTTATATTTCAATAAAGATATCACAACTTTTCATCTAAAATCGTGTACCACTGTATCCCTCATCTTGCTTTCAATCACTATTTGGACTTACTTTTCAAGAAGTTATTTAAAAAGTTTATCAGTGCGCAAGATATTATATTGGATACCTTTCATACCACAGTGCTCGTAGATGTACCAAGAGAATCTTCATGTCATTAATGTCTGTACATGTATTGGCAACATACGATTTGCACCTTATTGTGTCCAAATAGAAATAAATGAGGTCAAAAAATTATGAGATGGGTAAGAAAAAGTGTAATGACTGCCTGAAGGAAGAAACGATTAACCATTGTAAACTGCAAATTGTCCCTATTACAAGGCATAACATGTATCAATCATTCCATCAACTCTGGTATTTTTGAAAAAAGAACTACTGTATACCACTAGCAATGAAAGGATATCTAGGACATGGATAATATCAATTCAATGAAAGAATATATTTCTTTATGTATTACTCTGAATGAATGAATGAATGAATGTCTTCTCATCAGCATGACCTGGGTAGTGTTTCACAAAGATCCTAAGTTGAACTTATCTCTAAGTTGAACTGAACAATTATGGAAAGCTGTTAGCATCTTTTGAAACATTTTGTAAAAGTTATTTTCAAAGGCATAAAATGTTGATTCAAATCATTTCATATTTTCTATTATCAAGGAGATTTCATGTTCTTGATGTGGAATTTATGAAAAGTCTAAAATACTTTAATTTTTGCTTCTGAATATATGTTATTTAAAGGTTACAAATGGCTCTCCATAATGTTTAAGTCCAACTTAGAGTTAAGTTTTATTCAGGAACTTTGTGAAACAACCCCCTGATCTATTATATACTATTCTCACCCACATAATGCTAAATGCACAGGCACACAGTAAAGGTTTTACAAAAATGAGCTTCTTCCTTGCATCTTTGCGTTTAATTCAAGATAAGAGAAAGAGGATTGCTAGGATTTTCAAGAAATAGACTCAACAATAATTTCAATACTCTACACACATCACGTCCATTAAAAATCATGTTTGCATAATAATTAGTATGTCATTGAAAGCTCACACATTTCACTACAGTAGGCGATGGGCAAGGCTATTGAAATTACCTTAAGTTGACTTTTACGAGTTTTAGCCATCAAGTTGAGACCAAAACGAAGACAACAACTTGCAGACAGTTCCCCAGAAATGCCCATAATATTTCATGCCATTCTGCTATTATTTTATTTTGATTATCACTCAACAGGAACACAGAAGTCTTCAAAAATCGAATTATTCACTTTAGGTTGGAAGAATTTTCGACCAATTCACATCCTTACTCAAAAGGAAGGGTGTCTGCCTACCCCCATAGGACTTGAGTGATTACGATGAATAGAAAGAAATGAGTGTAATTGATGAGAGCCTTGAGATAGCATGATGAAGCAGTCTAGCTCAGTCTAGCTAGACCAAAACGTCTTGTCATCATATTAGCTCACAAATAAACATTTATGGGGCCCATTTACATCGAGGAAAAAAAGCAATTTAAAACCAATGTGTTTTTTTAATCTGGTATGTTTTTTTGTAAGTTGTGCGCACCCGGCCCCCCCACTCAGTGTTATTTAGGGTACGCATATGCGTGTTCCAACCGACCCCCCCTTTTCAGCAAAAGTCCGGTGTGTAAAGTCAATACGGCTCGACCTTTTTCTTTTGTATACGAGCCTTTTTCCGCACCCCCCCTTTTCAGCAAAAGTCCGGTGTGTAAAGTCAATACGGCTCGACCTTTTTCTTTTGTTACGAAAAGGACATTTTGGCAACACGCATGCGGTCATTTTGAAACCTGAGTGGGGGGGCCGGGTGTGCGCATGAGCCACTTTTTGCTGCTCTGCATGCGTTAACATGGAAGCGAGGAAAGAGTCATATGACCAAAATCAGAATAATTCACTGGGATTTTTGGCCAGCATTTAAGAAAACCACAATCAAGAGATGGGTTTAAATTAAATTTATGGATAATTGGCAACTTCCGACAAATGCCGGAATGTGAGAACAACTGAAGTTTTTTTTATTGCAGTGTGAATTCACCTATTGACTGACGAGATAGAGGTAATCCATATTATCACTCAATAAATGATTATTCTCTGTGGACTCACCCTAATCTGTCTGTGACCTTAAGGAAACTGGGCAAAAAGGTTGATTTCACACTAAAAAAAATGACTTTTAAATCATCAATAAATTGATCATTTTTTATTTTTGAGATTTAAAAGAGCATCCATTCTTTAATAGATAATGTACTGTAAATATCAAGTAATCAAGTCAACCAAAAAAAAGAGGACTTTTTCAGTCTTCTGCCATCATTACATATGTGTTGTAAACCTGAATCACAAGACACAGTTATCAGGGGAAAATAAAAGTAATAGAAATAAAGAATAAATAAAGATGGAAAATAATAATCGAGGCTTGTTTATCCAGGATAGCAACATGAATACTGATATGGCTATTCCTGCTGGCCTTAAAATTATCACCCAGTATTTACAAGTACCCATTATATAAATCTGATCTTACATCTAGGTGGACAAATGTTGGCAAAACACCTTGTCCAAAGATGCCAGCACCAAGCATCCAGAACCTCTTCTATACGAGTCAAGAGCCTTCACCAATACCACAGTGCTTCGTCATGAAAATTCCACTTGAAAAATATCTTTCTGGAACTGTGCCCTTGGCATTGGATCTCAGAGATTAGTTTGTGTGTATTTGATATTTACAGCAAGGAAATATAAATATCAACTCAAGATTGAAGATCATATATATGAGGACGAGGTGTGAATGGGAGGAAATCAAAGTCTGAGAGTGAGAGAGAAGACACAAGTCAAGACAGATGATGCATGTCTTAATTCATCTCCTTCAAACATGTCCATATCACAAACTCTTGGCTCTAGTTCAACTAATATACAACTGACAAAATGACAGAACACCCAAGTCATCACATCTTTTCCTCAGATGTACATTGTTTTGAAGGATGTAAAACACATTTAGAACGTGTACATCAGCCCCTCATTTTTCAAAGTCGGGGTGAAATAATACAGACTGAAGTTGGCAACCATGTTCTTTTATTTCTAATAGGTAGTACGGCCCATTTATTACTATTTCCATGGGGATTTTTTTTTCTTCAAACAGAATCTTTGGGTACATTTTTAAATCTTATCCTCAGCCCACATCTTTCCCTTCCATAGGCATTATTCTATGAATGATTCATTTCAAAATCACATATGCTTTCTATATATTTTATGTGAACATAATAAAATATTGTCAAATACATTTTCCCATGTTTTTAATGTGAACGTGGTAAAGAAAATGATGAAGATGGTGAAGAAAATGATAAACTAGTAACTTACAGAGATTTTCTTCATTTATAAAACCAATTCTAAATAGATATAGAATTTATTAATGTTATGGCATATTTCTGATTAAATCTTATCTGACAAACATACACTAGAGCCCTATAATACAATTTCAACTTAGTCAGCATTTGCTCATCTTTGAACATAAGTAACCAAGTTAAATTTGGCAAAAATCATCCTTGAATATTCAACTTTTTTCATCTTAACCACGCCAGACACCAGACACAAGAGCAACTTGAATCATAGTCATATGATTTCATCCAATTACCTTTGAACGACACAGAGAGAGGTTTCTAATTAAAGAAGATTCCTGACTTTGTTTTCATTTCAAGTGGGCAGGCAGGGTTGACGCCACAGTCAAAGATTTGGCCATCATTCATCAGACCCATCTTCAGAGAGGAAACTCACAATTATTCTCCAAAATGAAAAAATGGACTGACTCAGTGAGCCAGGAAATGGTCATAGTTAATAACATGCCGGTGTTTCCTATGTTATGATAGATAGTATAAATCAATTCTGAGGTTTGTAACCATCCCTTCTTTATTGTACAGGTGGGGTCTCGATAAAAGATTGGATGAGATTCACCAGATCCTTGGCTCAAACACAGAAGGCCGTTGCAGGATCAAGATACACATGTGTATGAATTACGACCATACATGTTCAGTAGCATAGATGTACTTTCTGCCGAGAGCCAGAAGGGCGTCAACCCTAGGTCAGAGGTTATACCAATTTGGTTCCCAGCTAATAAAAATGGTCTATGAAAATGGCAAGGGCATAACTTAGTTAAATCACCTTGTATATCACATTTTGCTCGTTTAAAGGGGATGCTTAATTGTCCTTACCGGTATTCATTTTTAATTTTAAAAAAATATTTATATTATGAAGAGGTGCTACCAATGTCGTCTTTACTATATCATATCTCAGAATAAACTAGGATAAACTAGAAATTGTTGCAAGATGATATTGTCGCAAATCATTCAATGAAAGGCTCTTTTATATGTGATTCAATTATTTTATAGCATGAAACTTTCACTATTCTTAACCAATTGAGAGAAAAAGGTGATCATTTGTGGATTTTGTGAAAGATTTATGCGCAGAGAAGCTGTAGTTTTAAGGTATAACTCTGGATGAGTGAATTGACTTTGTAATATATCTCTTCAATATCACAGTCCCTTTAACTTCAAACTTTTGATCAATACAACTTGCTCCTTGAGGCTAATGTCATTCCCTTTCTTGATTGATGCTCCTATTTTTTTTCATCCAAAGTTGATGGAAGGCAAGGTGTAAATTTAGGCTGATCTATTGCAATAATTCAAACAGAAACCACCAAAATCCATCATTGTTTCACCTTCGTTGCATGGGTCAAGTGGTATTTGACAAATGCGCCAAACAGTTGCCTCTCATATCTCAGAGTAACGGACAGGACGTGGGATATTGTTTACCA